CTCTCGAGCGTAATTGTTAAAATATTTCAGATTATGGATGAAAAGCTTGGTTAGACGTATACAGGGTGAGACAATAAGTTATTGCCTCATTGTGCATATTGCTGATTTTTACGCTTGTAGTGTCATTAATTCAGTTTCGACGGGAATCAGCTAATGGCGCATAAAAAAATATAAGCAGTAAGCGAATTAATTAAATCAAATTGATTAGATCAAATTAAAAATTATCGAAAAAAATTATCATTTTAAAACTTTCTGATTGATCAGTTTTCTTACTCCTTAAATTTTACACAGCTTATGTTTTCCTATAGTCTATTAGCTTAAAATGCTATAATCGACGCATAGAAACTTTCTTGCTTTCACCAAACTTCAGATACATATCGATTTCACTTGTCATCATATTTCTTTAAGCACAACTTTCATGAGTCTTCTTTTCTAACCTAAAAATCATGCTCGCAACTATTGTTGGTTGCAGAAAAATATATCGCGATATGATGCGATTCAATTCAGAGCTATTTTATATAAACAGTCTCCGATTTAACCTCCTAACTTTTACGAATACATTTAAGATCGTGCATAACGTATACAACACCTTCCGCAGAGTCGGTAGTGTTTGGCCAGAGTATCGAGTAAGCCACGTTCACTATCCAGAATAGCATCGAAATCGGAATGGCGCAAGCACTCAAAAGTACTGGTACCAGCACGCCAGAATGCCGGCTTTCCTTGCGGCTTCCAAGAGAGATCATCTCAAGGTGCACTAATCAGATCGCGACAGGTCGGTTTAACCACTGGAAGGCTGCGCTTTCCACCGGGATATCGAATTCCCTCCTCGAAATACGTAATATATCAACACAAAATATGCGCGCGTGTCTTTCTTCATAGACAGCAGTTTGACCCTCCGACACGCTTGAAGCACGTGGATGGAATAAAACGGGACAAGATGCAAAAAAAAACAAGGATGGAAGGTCAACATGGAATTTCGAAAGAGACGAACAGCGCTATCTGTTATGACTTTGTCTTTTTTGACCGGACATTTTTTTATCTTTGACATTTGCCGTTTCATTTCGAATCTAAAAACATGACAGTTGTATTTATGTAGTATAAAAATAGATCTATAGAAAATTTATACACGCATACATATATATATATA